ACTGTTAAAAAATAAAAATAGGGGTTGAGGAGATGCCTCAGTGGTTAAGAGCACTGGCTGCTCTTGTGGAGGACCCGGGTTTGAGTCCCAACACCCATATGGCGGTTAACAACAATCTGTAACTCCAGTTCCGGGGAATCTAACATCCTCTTCTGATCTCCAAGGGCACTGCATAACATGGGTGCAGTTATAATACTTGCAGGTAATAAACTCATACACATAAAAATTATTAAAAAAATTAAAAATCAGAAGCCAGCTGTGGTGGCGCAAGCCTTTAATTCCAGTGCTCAGGAGGTAGAGGCAGGCAGATCTCTGGCTCGAGGCCAGCTTGGTCTACATAGTGAGTTCCAGGCCAGCTGGGGTTACAGGGAGACCTGTCTCAAAATAGAAAAAGAAAAAATAAAAGAAAAATCAGGGTTTCTTTGTCTGGATCCTGACTGCCACCTAGTGGATTCTTTAACTATCAAAGCCTCCATTAACTTTTTTGTTTTGTTTTTTGTTTCAACAAAATGGCTGAATAGTCTAACATCAAACTCTGGGCTACTAGTCTTGAAAGGGTAAAAATCAGGGCTCATTTTGGTTTCTGTAAAAAAAAAAAAAAAAAGTGAGTATGGGCTGAAGAGATGGCTCGGGGGTAAAGCACTTGTCATACAAGTGTGAGGACCTGAGTTTGAATTCCCAGAACCCATGTAAAAGCAGGCCACGGTAACAGATCTGCAACCTCAGTGCTCCTATGACAGGGTGGGAGGTGGAGACAGGGACTTCCTGGAGGCTCCTGGGCTAGCAAGAAGCCTGATGTTTGCAGCAGTGAACAGAAGACTGTCACAAACAGAGTAAAAGGCAAGAAGACTGACACCTGAGGTAATCTGACAATGTGCACACACATTTATAAAAATATATTAAAAAACAAAAGTGTCTCCCTTTTCCCTGTGTGTGAAAACAGATACCCACTGTCATCCAAGGTTGACTGGTTCAATTAACAATCAAAAAAGACTGTTCCAGGGCTGCAGATGTAGCTAAGTTGCAGAATGCCACCCTACAATGTGCAAAGCCCTGGGTTTGATCACCACTACACAAAAATTGATTGTTCTGTTATCCACTGTACAGTAAAAATGATGTGAAGTGTTTTTGTTCCTTCCTTCTTTTTTTCTAAGAGAAATAAGCTATTGGTTTCCTGAATACGGGGTTGGGAAATGCCCAGATAAAGAGGGTACTTTCAGCCAGGTATGGTGGTGCATGTCTTTAATCCCAGCACTGGGGAAGCAGAGGTCTGCCAGATCTTTGCGAAATCGAGGCCCACCTGGTCTACATAGTTCCTGACCAGCTGGGGCTACAGGGAGACCCCGTGTCAAAAAGATAAAAAAAAAAAAAAAAAAAAAGGGTACTTTAAGGCTTTAAAGAGCTGTGATGCAAAGGAATACCGCTAACTCTAGAGATCATCTTTGGACTACTGCTGGAGTTGTAGAAAGCCAAAGTCCTAGGCAGAAAAACGCTCCTATCACATCGGAGGGCAAGGCCCACTGGACTCCCCTGCCTGAGGGGAGGTAAGAGCAATTCCTTCAGGAGTTTCTCATGTTTCCCTTATTAGGCTTCCAGAGCTCCTGATGATTGCACCTTCATTGCTATATCTTTCTTGCTACATCTTGACCCATCCTTCCTCCTGTTTTTTGTTTCTGAATACCACATTTGTAATCCCCGGTTCCTTCCCTGCTTGCTAACTAATGGCTAACACCTAGAGTTTCCTCTTTCTCCGGCCATCATTATCAACACAACACACAGACACTAACATGACCCACCCTTACTCACTCACCTACCGAACCATTCAGTAAGTTATTCTAGCCAGTCTGTGAATATTTTCCCCATGTTTTTATTTTTGAAAAAATTTTAAATATTGTATTTTCAATGTATATGAGTGTATTGCCTTCATGTGTCTAAGTGTACCCATGTCATGCAGTGTGCCCTCAGAAGTCAGAAGAGGGCTTTGGATTTCCTGGAACTGGAGTTATGGACGGTTGTTAGCCACCATGTAGATGCTAGGAATTGAACCTGGGCCTTCTGCAAGAGCAGTCAGTGCTGTTAACCACTGAGCCATCTCTCCAGCCCCTATTTTGAAATTTCTTAAACACACAGAAAAGATGAAAGATGAGTACCACAAACCCTTACCTATTCTCCATTAGATTCAGGAACTGTTAACACCTTGCTACATTTTTAGTCTGTGAACACATATATGTATATATATATATATATGCATGTATGTTCATAAATATGACTATCATATTTTTTGCATAACTATTGTTTGAGACAGGGTCTCATGTAGCCTAGGCTGACTTTGTATTCACTACATAGCTGAGGTTGCCCTTGATCACTTTGTCCTCAGACTTCTGCTCCCAACTGTTAGGATTATGGGCATGTGCCACCACACCCAGCTACTTAGTATATACTTTGACCATGCCACTTAAAGGTTAAGTTACAGCTGTTACAGTAGTTACTTTAGCCCTAAACACTTGCGTATGGGATTTTCTCCTAAGTAACTATAAAAGAAATTTCACGCCTAATAAAACTAGCAATTTAACATAATCTAATATTGAATCCAAGTATCATGATATTGAATCTATGTTCAAATTTGTGTGTGATGCTATAACTTTGTGCATGCCAAGCAAGCATAATACTGCTGTTACATCACCTGGCTGGCTCCCAAGTTTTAAAAAAAAATTATTTTATTATTTTTATTTTATGTGTATGAGTGTATAGCCTGCATGTATGTAAGTGCACCTGTGTCATGTAATGCCTGAGGAGGTCAGAAGAGGACTTCAGATCCCTTAGAACTGAAGTTACGGACAGTTGTTAGCCATCATGTGGGTGCTGGGGATTGAACCCAAGTCCTCTCCAAGAGCAGCCAGTGCTCTTAACTGCTGAGCCATCTCCAGTCCCATGGCTCCCAATTCTTTATAAACTTGTTTTTTCAAACCAGGATAGAGCTGATTTATGGGCTACATTACTATTTATATTTTTCATTTGTTTGTTGAGACAGCTTTTGCCATGTACCCCGGCAGGCCTGGATCTCACTAGTACAGGCTGACATCACACTTCTGTTGATCCTCATACCTCTGCTTCCTGTCAGATTACAAGCTTGCACCACCTTGCCTAGCTTCCTATCTCTTAAAACAAACCTCATTCTTTTTAATAACGTTACTTTTTAAAATAATTTGTTTGATTCCTTATAGAATATCCCACGTTCTGGATCTGCGAGTCTTTCCTCCTGGCCATTCAACATACTTCCTTATGCCTGTATTTCCTGTGAACTGGAAGATTTGATTGTGTTCCCTCATAGATGTCACTATTACTCACAATGCATCAAAACAAGAGGCACATAAGGTCAGGTCATGCTACATTTGATCACTGGGATAAGTGGGTGAATGTTGAATTTCTACATAGTAAGGTATTCTCTCAGTGTAGTCATTTAGTAATCTGTGGCATATGATACCATCTATCTATCTGTGATAACTTGACTCTCTGTAAACATCCTCCCTTTCTCTGCTTCCTCTCACCACATGACTTTTTAGCTTTTCTGGATATTTCTAAAGCATTGCAAATGGTCACTTTTCCAACTCTATCAGTCCATGTACATTTATTGGTTGTATTTTCTTCTACAAAACAACAAACTATAATATCACTTTGAATATTACAGTGCTCTTTTATGGATTACAGTGGGTTTTTTTTTTAAAGTATGTTCAATGCTTTGATAATCTAGTACAGTTACTTTTTTTTGTTTTGTTTTGTTTTTGGTCTTTTTTTGAGACAGGGTTTCCCTGTAGCCCCAGCTGGCCTTGAAGTCACTCTGTAGATCCACCTGCCTCTGCCTCCCAAGTGCTGGGATTAAAGGCATGCACCACCACGCCTGAGAGTTACTCTTTTTTAAAAATTTTATTTACTATTTTTATTTTATTAGTGTATTGCCTGCATGTATGTAGGTGCAGCCATGTCATGCAATGCCTGCAGAGGTCACAAGAGGGCTTCAGATCCCCTGGAACTGGAGTTATAGGCAGTTGTTAGCTGCCATGTGAGTGCTGGAAACCAAACCCAGGTCCTCTGCAAGAGCAGCCAGTGCTCTCAACCACTGAGCCATCTCTCCAGCCCCCTATTTTTTTTTTTTTTTCTTTCTGGTCTTCTTGAGACAGGGTCTCCTTGTAACCCCATCTGGCCTGGAACTCACTATATTGACCAGGCTGGCCTTGAACTCAAGAGATCTGCCTGCCTCTGCCTCCCAAGTGCTGGGATTAAAGGCGTGCACCACCATGCCTAGCTTAGTTACTTTTTTCAATGACCAAATCAACTAGTTTTTGGCCAGTAGAATCCTCTAGAGCTGGATTTTGAGTGCTTTTGACGGGTCCCTTAAAACAAAAACTGACCAAGATGTCACAGTTCAAGGGACATCTGAGAGAAAGGCCTTACGGATGGCAACAGACTCCAACCCCCTTGAGAAGGCGACTTCCTGGCAACTTTGTCGTTTTTCTTCCCCTATATTGAAATAAAATTAAATGCACATATAATAGGAAAAGGGAGAGGCTCCTAGAACAGGTTTTCTTAGTCCAGTCCCTCGAATGTTTGGATCCGGCTTGGGTGAGATTTAATGATTTGCATTTCCAATATATTTCCACTTTATGCTGATTGAGGAGTTTACTTTGAAAGCTAACCAGCAGGACAAACTATGTATTGAGCCACACTCCATCACTTCTTTTCAGAAAAGGCACGCGCATTTACACTCCTGGGAACTTCAGGGGCGGTCCTACAACACCCACACGAAGAGAATTAACCGTTGCGCCAAGCCCCAAGCGGAACTGACGTAAATGAACGTCTCCTCTGTGCCTGGCGCATCCCAGTGACGCCATTTCCTGCCTATCAGGCCACGCCCACTCCGTCGCGCAGCCGCGGAGAACCAGGACTGCTTAGAGGGCGCCAGGAGCCACGTGACTCGAGCGACACAACGCGAGAGTTGTTATATCTCGCGAGACCTCACTTGCCTTGTCTTCCTTTTCCCGGTGTCCGGCTTTTCTCCCCTCCCCCTCGCCGTGGACGGAGTTTTTCCTTTTCCTACCGAGTCGCCTTGTGGTCGCGGGGATTTTCCCTCCTGAAGCTGCTCCTGCTGTCGCTTTTGTCCCGACCCCTTCCCGCCGTCCCATCCCCACCCCTACTCAAGGTAACGAGCCCCCGAGGCCTTGGCCTCGAGTTGAAACGGAGGCCTGAGGCCAAGTAGCCAGCCTCGCAGGGCGGTCCCGGCGCGGGCTGCGGCGTCGGAGGCCGGACTCCTCCCCGCCCAGCTTTACGGCCCTGGCCTGTGGGGGCTTCGGCGCCGCGGCGGCCTGCGTGGCATCCCGGGAGCCCGTCGGGGCGGGTGGAGACGGCCGCTCCGGGCCCGCGGATTCCCTGGAAGCTGATGTTTTCAGTTTCCTGGACTGAAAAGGTCTGGCGCCGCGGCGGCCTGCGTGGCATCCCGGGAGCCCGTCGGGGCGGGTGGAGACGGCCGCTCCGGGCCGCGGATTCCCTGGAAGCTGATGTTTTCAGTTTCCTGGTCTGAAAAGGTCTACAGAATTAGAGCGGGCTTGGGCTTGCTGGGTGACGGGGAGGGGAGCCACCTGGCTTGTCTGAGCCTTTTTCAGAGGCTTCCTGTGGACTGGAGGGAAGTGCTTAAGGGGACCCGTGAGTTTGGTTGCACGTTGAGGGTTTATCTGTATCGCATTTTCACGAAATTGTGCGGGATTTGGCAATAGCCCATTTCTTAGTATACCTACATAAGGAGAGTATCTCAATTAAAATGCATCACAATTGCCTGTTTAAGTGACAGAGTGAACAATTTCTGTTCAGAACAGTCGCTTTCAGTTGAATTGTTCTTCAGAGATAATTTGTGCTAAAAACATTTTTTAAATTTAGCTTTAGAAGTTCGTGCTCATCTCCCCCCCTCACCGGTTTTGAGTTTTCCAGCACGCTAGTGCTTTTTAAAAATTATTTTTAGGTTCACAGCACCGTTTATTATTGAGCCGCAGACTGCCTTCTATAATAGGGGTTAAAAGAAAATCATAAACTTCCCCCTTTTCTTATATTATGATTTACGGTCTTTTCTGTAGAATTTGGCATGTTTGTAATCTTAAGAATGTTGCTTTGAAGTTTTTTGGACTGAAGTCTAAAGTAAGTAAAAGTAATGGTGATGAATAAAACGTTCATGTTGATGATAAGACGTTCTGAACAAAAGTGGTTAAGTCAGGTGGGCTCATTTAGGGAAATATTTTTGTAGTTTGATATTTGATTCTCACCTTTTTCGTTTCCCTAGATGTCAGAGGATCTAGCAAAGCAGTTGGCGAGCTACAAAGCTCAGCTACAGCAAGTGGAAGCTGCTCTGTCAGGAAATGGAGACAATGAAGATCTGCTGAAACTGAAGAAGGATTTACAAGTAAGTGCAGGTGGATGTTAGAGCTAATGTTGTTTGAGAAGAGTATTTGCATTGTTCAAATGATTTTGTTGTTTAGAAGCACCCTTGGAAGAGGGTACCCCCTATCTGTATATATATGTACATGTGCATATGTACAGGCACTGAGGCTTCTAAATAAAGTTGCTTCCTCAATTTGTGTACATCAAAGTGAATAAAGCAATCACAGTTTTGTAAATCTTGTGTGTACTCATAGGATTTTAAATTACAAATTGACTTGAAAGTCATACTTTATCATGAAAAGAAACTTTGCAATGGAATATGCATATATTTTTAAAGGAAACAGTTCAAAAGGTAACACTATTAAGGGAGAAAAATAAACCTGATTAAGATTCTTTTTAGTGATGCAAGATTATTTGAAGATGAAGTCTGGCTTTTTTGTTTTTCAAAGCTATTAGGGTTTATACATTTTATTAAAAACATGTAAATATCTGAAGAGATTCATGCTGTCTAAATGATAAAAGGTGTTTGAGCTTAAGGCTAAGCTTTCTAGTTATTGACCCCCGTTGAAGCTGAATTGCTGTGAAAAGGAGATCTTAATTTGTCATGGGAGAGTTTAGGAAGTATGGAACTTCTAATAACTTATATTGGGGTTTCAAGACAAACCATCTTATGATAGTAAATCTCTGATGCTTCTCAGGACACTCGGTTAAGAAAAATAAAATTTGTAAATACTGTATATGTGAATTTTGATCTTAAGAACTTCCTTAAAATTGTGAACCCGACCTTTAAAAAGTTTCCAGGGTGTTTTGGTTGGATGAGTCTTTGTCTCATCTAAGCAGTCCTCTGTCTTCTTGATAGCCCTTAAATTAAAACTATTAAGTTTTGCCAGTTGTGGTGGCACATACCTTTAATTCCAGCACTTGGGAGACAAAGGGCAGTGGGTCACTATGAGTTTGCAGCCAGCATGGTCTACATATTGAGTTCCAGGCCAGCCAGACCTATAGAGTGAGACCCTGTCTCAAAAAAAGAAAAGAAAAAAAGCCCAAATGAAAAACCAGCCATTAAATTGTTGGCAGGCCAAAGCAGTTCATCAAGTAAAGGTGCATACTGCACAGGCCTGGTGACCTGAGTTTAATCCCAGAACCTTCCTAGAAGTTGGAAGGGGGAACCAACTCCACAACACATAACATGATGCACACAGATGGTGCCAATGAGCTTTAAAAAGAAAACTTAAGTTTTAGGGATTTTACAATTTGAAACAAAATTTATTTGAAAGGAGTTCTAGATTTAGTATTCTGGAACTTATTTGGGTGTAATTAAAATGAGTTCGACATTTTCAAATTCATATTCTAGGTTAACAATAAAGCCCAGTAGTATGTTTTTTAAAACATAGAAAATATGTGGGCTAATTTTACTTTGAACAAGTTCCTCCTTCAATGTATAGAAGACAGGTTGGTTGCATGATGCCAGTCAGTAAGGAAAGACTTGTTTGGGAAACAGTTTCTCCTAAGTCCTTGTGATCCAATGGTTGGTCCCTGCCTGCTCATTTGATTTTCTCAAAGTTACAAATGAAGTGACAAAACCAAACAGACCTGAGTGCTTATTGTAGGGCACCTGCTTTCTTCTTGCGGCAAGATGACCCATCTGACTTAAAAGCAGTCCTTTTCTTTGAAGAAAAAACATTGTGCACCTATGTTTTATATTTCGAATTGCTTCCTGGACAGTGGAAAGAGAGGTATATGTGGAACTGGTAGAGGGGGACTTGGAAGTGAAGTTAGAGCATTATTATCAGTCTTTTTAATGTTTCTAGAATACATTATTTTTAGGGTATGGGCTCCGCTGTCTTAATATGACCTGCTCTATAATGGAAAGTACTTCAGGGAGAAACCTTTGTGGTAGACAAAGGCTTACCAAGGTTTCAGTTAGTAATGACCTGGAGACTGGGGAAATAGTTCAGTAGTACAGTGCTTGCTTAGCACACATGAAGCCCTAGGTTCAATCCCCAGCACTGGAAAAAAAACCACCATCAGCAAAGCAATAATGACCTTGCAGTCATTTATATATAAAGCAGGCTCTTTTCTGTAGCTGTTTAGAACAGCACTGCCCAGTAGAAATTTTGTTGTGTGATGGTGAACATGTTTTGTATCTGCTGTTGAATGCCATAGCCACATAAAGCTATTGAATATTTGAAATATAGCTATGGTAACTGAGGAGCTGACTTTTAAATTTTACTTAAATATCCACAAGTGACTACATATTGGATGATGGAGATTTACAAGCTTAAATGCTAATACCTTAAAAAGAGACAATACAGAATATGTTATTTGACTAAAGTAATCAGTTTCTTCTCTTACTCCATTATGGGAAGAAGTCTGATTTTGGTTAGTAGATACAGTTTGAACTGAAAACAATTCTAAGATGGACATTGGTTTTTTTTTGTTTGTTTTGTTTTGTTTTGTTTTGTTTTTTGTCTTTTTGAGACAGTGTCTCCCTGTAGCCCCAGCCAGCCTGGAACTCACTCTGTAGACCTGGCTGAACTTGAACTCACAGAGATCTGCCTGCTTCTGCCTCTCAAGTGCTGGGATCAAAGGTGTGCACCACCATGCCCGGAGGAAATTGTCTCTTCAAAAATTACAAAAAGTACTTGAATATATGCTTCCGTGTAGTAATTGTTTGCACTGAGACTAGGGTATAGCTTCTGTTGGTCTGGATCTCCCCTCCACCTACTTTTCTGCTTTGGGGGACATATATATCTTGTACCATTAGTTTTTAAAGCCTACTTCTCATATTTGATAAAAAGTCTGCTTAAATTATTATTAAGCTTGTGACTTCTGCATTTTCTTTTTTTGGGTCATCATAATGACTTCTAATTCCTTGTGTTCATTTTTTCCAGTAAGGTTTCCACGTTTCTCTTCATTTATGTGTTGTCTTTCATATAGAATAATATTCCTTAGCAGGCAACAAATTAATTACTGAAGTCCTAACTGCCTTTTTTACTTGGAAGAAAAAGTAGGTATATTAAAATCCAGGCTAGCTAACTCATTAGCTCCCCAGGCAGTCTATAGTAATCACAAAAATAGTTTATTTATTAGGCTGTATTGCTGAATAAACTGGTTCTAAAGGAGGCAGGGGTCAAGTCACTTGTCTCATATATTACAGTGGCTCTCTACATCCCCGAAACGCCTTCCTTCAGTAAGCAGAGTGCTTGAGTGCACCCCCTTTGACCTGCTGATATATAGATCACAACACCTGATGCTTCCTGGAATTGCCGATTACTGTAACTGCTGCCCATCTGTCAATGAAGGAGCAGTTTCAGAACTCAGACTTGGGGGAGGAAAAGTAATTAATGGTATGTACCTTCAAGAACCCCCTCATCCATAGTTTTTCTAATATTTTGGTCCATATGCACATGTGAAGAAAGAAATTTAGAAGGTTCTTCATAATTTATTGGGAGGGACATGCAAAATCATGGCAAAGTTACAGGACATTATAAATACTCTGGTTGTTTATGAAAAGGGCCATTCCAGCCATTTCAGGACTCTGAAAATCAATAACATGCACAGCTTTTCAGGACTCTTTTCTTTGATGGAAGTGTATGTCCTTATGAATATGGTGGGAAAATGTTCTGTCATAAAGGAAAGAGTTCTAAATCTGAGACCTGTAGATGTAGAATTCATGTTGGTGCTTTAATAATTAAATGACCCCTAGAAGAATGTACAAGTAATTAATGATAAGGATTTTGTGGTCTCTTGAATGGATAGTTTCCTCTCCTTTTTATGTACTCTTATTATTTGAGGCTCTCCTGAATGATTTGCATAGAACTGTGTAATTAGAAAGTATTTGAGGGTTATAGGTGTAACCGTGGTAGGGCACTTGCCTGGTAAGCACAGGCCCTAGGTTCAGTCTCCAGTATTGCACAGTTAATTAATACAAAGTCATACTTCATCACCATTGACTTTCCAGAAGCAAAAAAACACAAGAAAGATGTCTATTTGGCAAAATTTAGAGATATTTTTGAATTATCAAGTAATAATCTCTTAGTTTTTTAAATTCACAAACTGACTTTTCTCCAAGTGCTTAATTTTTGTAAGGCCTAAATAGTTTTTCAGAAGTAGCCAGAAAGATTTAGAATCTTTAGGAAAGTGGTACTATTAACTTTGCTGGCTACGGAACCAGAACAGCTATTATGAAACCCCAGTGGGTGCCAGAAGAAACTACTCTTATTTTGCTAACACTTATCCGCACACATACAGTATGATGCTTTATGCAAGCGTGGGAAACACATATGCAGGTTCCTAGAAAATCAGACGGGGTGACACATCCAGATCTTCATTAGAGGAAGACTGAAGCAGACAGGTAACCTGTGCATCTGCCAGGTTTTTAGCCATCCCTGACACACCTTTGACTCAGTCTAATAAATGTAAGCCTGAATTAGAAAAACTGTTTGCTACACAGAGAAGCATTGCCTGCCTGTGTGAGTTACTTTTATTTTTTTCTTTTTAAACGAAGCTGTGCTACTGTGCTTGATAAAGAGGTATAGACTATTTTAAATCTAACTTGATTTGGCTTATTTGGGGTAAGATTTAAAATAACAAGAAAAATAACTGGTTTCTTACACATATGCCTGTAGTATTTTAGTAGAAGAAGTACATACAAGTAGGAACATTTTGTGTGATAACAAGACTACGTCCAGTGTTCTGGAGTCTTTGGGGAGGAGGTATCTTGGCTAGACAGTTGCTATGCCTGCCAAGCAGTGCCCTATACAACTATAATTGCATGAAATACACCTGGCAGTTGTAAAAACTGGTCTTGAATCAGTTTCAGTCTCTGTTTCTCATTGTAGAGATGATCTGTTCAGTCAGAATAGTCATTTAAGGGTAATACATGGTTGAAGCTCGTCTACCTGTATTTAAGTTGGAGGTGCTTATTTAGACTTAAATCATAGCTCCACTATGTAGCAGTATAAAAGGCTGTTCCTCAGTCTGCACATGGGGATGATAGCAGTATTCTTACTAGCATTATGAATTACACTGGTACTATACGTAACTGCTCTGTGGTGTGAGAACTGCTATTGAAAAGCCAAAGAAAGTAGTTGATAATAGTGAATTACAAAAATTACAATAGCATTTTGTTTTCTGTTTTAGGAAGTTATAGAATTAACCAAAGACCTTCTGTCAACTCAACCTTCAGAAACTCTTGCAAGTTCAGACAGTTTTGCTTCTCCTCAGCCTACTCACTCATGGAAAGTAGGGGACAAATGCATGGCAATCTGGAGTGAAGATGGACAGTAAGTGTAGAAAAACCCTCTTAACTATAACATGAATTAATAAAATACAATGGTAAGATGTTTTTATTCAGCTTGAACTACCCTGTTTTAATCTTTATGGGCAATGTGATTTGTAGAACTAGTTTAATTCTTGAGTATTTGCCATTAATACAGCTTAATTTTAGATTAAGTTTTGGGGAAGAATGGTTTGGATCCTAGAGGAAAAAAAAAATTGAATGGCTGTTTCTAAAACAGTCTAAATTGTTTTCTCCTCAAATTGAAAAGTGAATACTTCATAAATCTCATTTCTCCGAGTGCATACACTGAAATTAATTATTTAATAGTTTTTCACAAAGAGATTAAGTACATTGAGTAGATATATGTAAGAGATTTTCCTGGCAATATTTTAATTAAGACCTTTGATAGCAGGTGCCTAACTCCAAACCAGTTTTGTATTTTTGCCAAAGGGGCCCATTTAATTGCAGCAGTTTATTTTAGAGACATGTGATAATTGAATCACTGCAGTATAAGTCTTGTAGGCTGAGTACTAAATCTTTACTCACCTGCTTACAGCCATGATATCTTTACAGGTGTTATGAAGCGGAGATTGAGGAGATAGATGAAGAAAATGGCACCGCTGCAATCACCTTTGCTGGTTATGGCAATGCAGAAGTGACTCCGTTGTTGAATCTCAAGCCTGTAGAAGAAGGAAGGAAGGCCAAGGAGGACAGTGGCAACAAACCCATGTCAAAGTAAGTGGCTCTCTCTTCCCCTAAGACAGTTTCTCACTGTGTAGCACAGCATGGCTCGCAGTCCTCAGTTCTCTTGTCTCAGCCTTCTGAGTGCTCAGGTGTAACTGACTTTAACACATTCAGTTTTCCCCATTTGGGTGCTGGAGGTAGTCTGCAAAGGTAATCTGTGTAGGCTACATTGGCCCAGGGTTGTAATATTATTTGCTGTTGTTTAGCATAGGATCAGTATTGTATGTATATGTCTAGATTTAGGTAAAGTGGAGACATTTCAATGTGTACGTAGGCATTCAGGAAGTGTAGAGGATGCTGTGTACTAAGTGCATCTTACTATATTTTGTAAGCTAGGTCCTGAGGCTTAGCCACTGTGGAGGTCATCTTGGGCCTTGTTCCTGCTGAATATGTATCCAGATAAGAACAATCAAGGGAGTGTTCTTGAGCTCCAGATGTAGCTTAGTAGTAGAGAGCTTGCCTAGCCAGGTGTGTATTCCCAGTACCGCAAAGGGGGTGGGAGGGAAGAGCTTAAATAATCAAGTGGAAGTTGTGAAAGGACATTAACGATAATTCTAAGTGAACAAAGAAGAGGTACCATAGTCCTTGAGAAAATGACATCTGATACTTGAAACGAGAGTTAGCAAAGTAAAAAATGAAAGCACTGTGACCTACTGGTTATGTACATATTTGCCCCTGACTATGGCATTGAGCAAACTAACAACTGCCTCATCTATAAAATACTTGGAATAAAGTGTGTAACCGTTCTTAACATGTAGTCATAGCTTGGTACATGTTTATTTAAAAAAAGGTGTAGAGAAGTAGAGGTAACAAATTCTTATACTTAAAAGCTTGGGCCCGGAAGGTAGATAGTTCAACAGAAGAAGAGGTTAGCACCTGTTAGCCGCTGATCACATTGTAAATAGATAGGTTGTGATAATGCTGAGATTGGAGTTAAGAATGAGCCCTTAGGAGAGAGAAGACTATATGCTATGATCTAGGCATAAGCTATGATACGGTGACTTAAACCCAGAGAATAGCAGTGGCATAGAGAGTGCATTTTCAAAGATACTTATTTATGAGGCAGGATTAATAATGTTTTGGTTAACTTCATATTTGCCACCACTTTCTGTGTTTACGATTGATTTTTTTAAAGAATTTTCAAAATTTTAAGATGCTATCTAAGTGCTTGAATTTAGAAAATTTATATCATTTTTGAAGTAACATTTAAATATCCGGAATAAGAAAATAAGAGTGTAAAACTGTTTAATCTCTAGTTTTACTCTTCCGTGTTCAAAGCTGTACTTAGTTTCATAAAAATTACCTGGTACAGCAGAATCTAGATTTTTGCTGTGTCTCATCTTTTCTCTTGGGGTTAATAAGCAGAGATTTCTGGCAGTTTTAGACTTTGGTCCTGTTTCAGGAATCCTGGGTGTTTTGCTGCTTGTTGTTACTAAAGTTGTTACTAAGACTTTTTCAAGTTTCCTTTGTTGTGGCAGTCTTCCAATCTTGGTTAGATACTTTGTCTGCATTAAATCTCCCCTTCATATACATTTTCCAAATGTTGTATGTATTATCTGTATTTTTAGAAATTTATAAATTTGATGATTTTTTTGTGTGTGGGAGAGTATTGTGTTTGGATTGTTTTGGTTTTTATTTTATTTTTACTTTATGTGCATGCATGTATTGCCTGCATATAGGTAAGTGCACCCGTGTCGTGCAATGCCCGCGGAGGACAGAAGAGGCTGTGGATCCCCTGGAACTGGAGTTACAGACAGTTGTTAGCTGCCATGTGGGTGCTGGGATTCAAACCCAGGTCTTTCGCAGGAGCAGTCAGTGTTCTTAACTGCTGAGGCATCTCTTTTTTTTGTTGTCTTTTTTTTTGAGACCTGGTCTCATGTAGCTCAGGCTGACCTTGATTGAACTCAGTATGTAGCAGAGGCTCACCTTAAATTCCTGATCTTCCTGCCTATCTGCCAGGTGCTAGGATTATAGGCATGTACTATTAAGTATGTTGCTATTAATTTCCTAAAGCATAACTTGAAAAATGTATATAAAGGTCAAATAAAAGTCACAGTTGAAATATTTGATTTGCGTGTGTGATAGAATGCTGTATACACACAAGTTCTTGTTGTCATTCACTGCTGGGCATGGAATCCATGGTCTTGGAGTGCTAAACTAGTGTTTCACCACAGAACTGCATCCCCTCTTTTTTAAAAGAATGTTTCTGAGTACTCAGTGATTGTCATTATTTTGCTTTTGTTTAGTGTGTGTGTGTGTGTGTGTGTGTGTGTGTGTTCAAGTTTGAGTGTGCATGTACCACAATGAAGTCTGGAGGTCAAAGGACAACTTGCTGAAGTTGTTTCTCTCTACCATATGGATCCTGGGGATCAAACTCAGATTGTTAGGCTTGGCAGAAGCACCTTTACCCGAGGAGCCATCTTGTCCGTCCTGTTTTTCCTCTCTTTTCTTCTTTTTTTGATACAGGGTCTCATGTATCCTAGACTGGCCTTCAACTTGCTATGTAGCCAAAAATGACCTTGAACTTCTGATTCTCCTGTCTTTACCTAGGATTACAGGCATGCGACACCGTGACATCTGGTTTGGGGTATTGATTTTTTTTTTTTTAAAGTGAAAGTCGTATCATTAATAAACTAGTATGTGAGGGTTTTTGTTTTTTGGTGTTTTGTTTTTGCACTGTTACAAGGAAGTAACCTTTTAAATTTTAAGAGTTGACATTTAACTCTGGGTTTTCTACACAGAAAAGAAATGATTGCCCAGCAGCGTGAATATAAAAAGAAGAAAGCATTGAAAAAAGCACAGAGAATAAAAGAACTTGAGCAGGAAAGAGAGGATCAAAAAGTGAAATGGCAGCAATTCAACAACAGAGCTTATTCTAAAAACAAAAAAGGCCAGGTTGGTACTCTTTCATCACACTTTGTAAGTTTGAATATTCAACTATCATTAAGATAACTTTAAAATACAAAAAGATCTATGGGTTTTTCCAGATGATAGGATTTAACTAGTTCTTGATTCAGAATCCTTGTCAGTACTTATTAGCTACTGTTTGTAATAAAAACATTATGACTTTGTACCAGGAATTACAAAAATTTGTAGAAGCTTTTGGTGCCTTCAAACTTCTAGCTAATACACTGAACTGTCTGCTTTGTTAACATGTTTTTATGCTGGGCATCCATTTTTAAAAGCCTCCAGGTTCTCTTGGTGTGCTTTCCTTTCTAAGTGTGTTAGGTAGAAAGTAACTGGAACTCATTGCTGTTTTAGAATAAGGATAATATTTCACCCATAACTTGGATTTTCATTGCTATCAAGGTATCCACCATCTACACTGGTGGACATCGCTTCTAGAAAGTGATGCTTCCTTTTCATAGAGATGTCTGCTTTATGATTTACAAAGGGCAAGGGACTTTGAGACATCACAGCAGGTCTCACTATAAAATTCAGTACAGCCAGCACTATTTAAGGTCTGTTTATACCAAAATAGATAGCTCATACCTTAAATAGGAATGTGAAAGAAATGTGAATGAAAACCTTAAATTTTGAGACAATCCCAAGACAAGCTTTATGAGTATTAGCAGTATGGGATGGTATTCTCTTTTTTTTGTTGTTGTTGCCCCAGCTGCTATGGAACTCACTATGTAGACCAGGCTGGCCTTGAATTCAGAGAGATCCGCCTGCCTCTGCCTCACAAGTGCTGGGATTAAAGACCACCACACCCGATGGGATGGTATTTTCTGCAGCACACAAGTTAAAAGTTTTCCAGCATGAGACCACCTTACTAGCTACTTTAAATTGCAATGTACTTTCTATAAATATTGGAACTTGAATATATTTTAATAGTAAACGTTAATATCTCAGATGCTTTCAATTTTGTTTCCCCTAGGTGAAGAGGAGTATTTTTGCTTCACCTGAAAGTGTAACTGGCAAAGTTGGAGTAGGAACTTGTGGAATTGCGGACAAGCCTATGACACAGTATCAAGATACATCTAAATACAATGTCAGGCATTTGATGCCTCAGTAATCAAAAAAACTGTTGAATTTCATCTCTGCAGGGCTTTACATTTACCTTTTTATCCTTATATTTTTCTAAAGGTAAATTATTTGTTAGATGAGTAAGGAAAATACATTATTGTCATTGTTTGACTGCAGCAGAATGAAACTTGAAGAAATTACGTTTGATAACTGCAATTCATTCAACTTTTCATTACTACTTAAACAGTTCCCTCAGAATTTGTTGAACAAGGCAGGTTTTCTGGGTAAATGCTGCACAAATCAGCACTTAGATGACTTGTTGATCTTCAGGCCCCCACTTAACTGATAATATATAAAGACATTTTTAAGTCATAACTTGGAATTTTCAGATGCTTTGTACTTGACTCATTCTAACAGTTCATTGGAACATCAAGGCAAAACACCAACCTGATAAGGAGATCTTTTGTTGTTGTTTTCTCTGATTTTAAAAACTAGCCGTTGTCCAGACAAGCCCATGGTTCATTTATAAATGGCAAAGTTTATTTTTCCTTGAATAACTGTTTCCCCGGCCTACTAGGCCATCTCTTCTGTTGATCCACTTTTTTTTTTTGTCATTGAGTTTTAATTTGATGTAAAAACCGTGTTTGGCTGAGCCCCTTCTAAGGTGTTCATTGTTTGGTGTTTCCTCTTGTATTGTTTTTTCCTTTGTTGGTTTTTCAAATGGCAGTGATACCATTTTTTTGGATGTGTAATGTTTATATGGGAAAACAAAAGCTGATGTATAGCCCTGTATACAGTGTAGATACTATTTTTGTAAAAAAACAAAAAGGCTAAATTAATGAACAAGAGTACTGAATGTTTAATGATTAAAATTTTCTTGTATTTCTTGTGCATTAATCTGACCATAATTTCCCTGTATATTATGTTCATGTAGCTGAGTTTGTAATTTCTGTTAACTAGATCAAGTTGCCAACTTTAGTTGGTGTGAGCATCACAGTTATCCCAAGTGAGTTTAAGCCAAATACATGCATAGAAAAGGGCCTTCTGTTACTGGAAGAAGACAGTTTTTAGGATATGTGTTAATTTTGGTTTTGTATGTTTAACTTTTATTAAAATAAAGTGTTTTTAAAATCTTGAGGGTGTTTTAACAGAGGGGTGAGGTCTGTAGCTGCTGCCTTGGTGTAGTAAGCTACAAACTTGCACACGTGACTACCATGGAGGAGATGTTGAATCTGTAATAAAGGTTTCCATAAATCCTTCAGTATTCATTAGATGGAAGGAATTGAATCCTGAAGGACCAATGGTTGTGTATGGGATTGTTTGTAAATTAAATTATTCCACACGTTTTGTTAAACTGAAACTTTGTCAGTGATGAGAGTTGGAATTCTTTCTTTTCCCAGCACAGGAAGTTTTTGTTGTTGTTTTTCATGTAGGACAAAAAGAAAGGCAGAGATTGATAGATAAAGGTTTAGACTCAGGATGGAGCTCAGTGGTAGAGTCCTAATATGAGGGCTGGGAGGTATTAAAGCCTGAAAACTCAATAAAATTTTAAAGTAAAAATTCATCGTAGTATTGTTATAACAAGAATATACTAAGAGTTACAAAGAAGTCCTTTGAGTGAAAACACAGTAACTAGCAAGTAGCAAGACACTTGGTGTAATTGGGTGATCCCAGAAAATAGTTTGATACTGCCTTGGTGCTTGTATAGGCAGTTTTGTTGTAACTGAGACCATTCTTAAACAGTGGGCCTTCCTCTGTGTATTTTCCATGAGGATTTTGTCTTAGAAAATGAATAGCAGTGATCTTATAAAATTTGTTCTGAAAATAGGCATGTAGTATGAGATCAGTAGCTCTTGAGATCAAGATGTGGCTTTTGGAATATCTTAGTGTTGATGATGTTGGTATCTTTGGACTGAACTGAAGGTTAACGCTCTGGGGAAGATGAGTACCTATCAGTTTAATGCTAAAGTTGAAATGAAATAACCGTAAGTATTTTACAATATTTGAAATACAGTATTTGAAAATCAAATAGGAGCCCTGGCCTTAAAATGTTTGGATACAAAATTTAATGTAGTTTCCCTATGTCAAAAAGACTTGAAGTTGAAATGGTGACAAAGGGAAATAAAACACTACTTTTTAAGTAGGAATGTTTGCACATACCTTCTCAAAGCTTGATTTTACTTTTGAAGTTGACTAGTAGCCCAATAATTAGTAACCAAAAATATTAACAGAAATCAGTAGATGCTGTCCTAATGAACATGTAGATGTAGAGGCTTATAGAGCATATTACAAAAGCCAAGACTCTAGAACTAGATTGCTGTTTGAATCCTGGCTTACCACTTGTTAGCCAGTATGTGTAATTTCTCATTTTTCTCAGCTCTAGAGTGGAAATAATTGTTTCTTTAGGGTTTTAGAATTATTAGGTATAAAGAGGGACTGTCGCCAGGTGTGGTGGTGCATGCCTTTAATCGCAGAGGCAAGTGGAGTCTCTGAGTTTTGGGCCAGCCTGGTCTACACAGTGAATCCAGGCCACGTTGGGCTACAGGGAGACCCTGTCTCAAAAGACCAAAAATAAAAAATAAAGAGGGACTGTCTTACCTACCTGGCTGTCCAAATATGGTGAGCACTATAGAACTGTCCACCATTGACTGTGGAATGGCAGTGTTGACTGTAGTTGATTTCCTTTAAAGAATTGCTGTTCACTTTATATATAATACCCACAGCTTATGATTTGAAGCACCCAGTTAAAACTGCCATTGAAATGGCATCAAGTAAATCCTTGTAAAGGTTCTTAATTTCACATTAAGAATATAGTTCTTTGTTTTGAGACAGGGTCACCCTGTAGCATCAGCTGGCCTGGAACTCCCTGTGTAGGCCAGGCTGGCCTAGAGCTCACAGAGATCCATCAGCCTTTGCCTCCTGAGTGCTGGTATTAAAGGTGTGCATCACCACACTCAGCCAGATTATAGTTCTTAATGGGAAAGGGAGTAAAAGTTATAATAAAAAGCTTAATGCTGTTTAAAATTAAAGAACTCCTGGGTCTGGGTCCTATCCTAGACTTCCCAGGTCAATGTAAGTCTGCTATAAATGCCATAGCTGATTCTGGTGTGTGTTCTTAGCTGAGAACCATACTGTAGGTTAATGTATGAAACTTTGATTTCTGAAATGAAGAAAAATTACCTTTAGTGATAGCTTTATTAGTCTAATTATGAAAACTAGGCCTCAAAATTAAAATACATCAAATTACCCTAAATGCTTGTTTTTGTCTTAGTAAGGGTGTGTTCCAGTATGCTGTGGTTTTAATGTTGAGCGTTTCCCTTGAAAAACAAGGGCTGTCAATCAGGTAACAAAGGACAGGCGGGGTTTTTTTTTGGGGGGGGGTGAGTGTGAGAGAGAGGTGTCAGTAGGTTAGGAGTTTATAATTTACAATTAGACCTTTTAGAGGTGAAGAATACATTATATAAATTTGGCCAAGAATTTATTCAAAGATTGATTTGGCTTTTTGCCTAGCTTGGATATTAATTGAAATTAAAGAAGGTTGAAAAATCTGTTCAAACCAACAAAGTTTTTATATTTGCTTAAAATACTTACAGAAGTTGAACAAGTTTCTGCAGAATTTATTTGTATTAATAACTATGAAGCAGTCAGCATAAGTAGTAATTTATAAATTCAACAGTAAATGTAAACATTGTATCTAGGATTTGTTTTTCTTTTGGGGGGCATCTTTTTGATACAGAGTCTCCCTGTAGCCCCAGCTGTCCCTTGAATTCACAGAGATCTGCTTGCCTCTGCCTCCTGAGCGCTGGGATTAAAGGCGTGTACCACCATGCCCAACTATATCTAGGATTTTTGAGTTGCAAGTTAAACTGAATTTTTACTGCAGTGGAGAGGAAGAGCATAGCAGGTAGAGTACCAGGTAATTCTATAAACAAACAAAAAGCCAAAGTAATCAAACCCCTTTACTCTTTTTTTTAAAGAAGCATATATATTTGTGTGTGTAGATGTGTTAAGTGGTTCTGAAACTGGTATTGATGAGATGTGCTAAGAATGTTTGGTCTAGCCAAAAGAAACAAAGTTTTCATCTCCATGAGGTTTTTCAGTTGCCTTTTCAGTTTAAAGTATTTATAAAGGTGGTTCTTTTGTGGCTGTGAGTGCAGGTCTGAGAATTAACAGTGGGTCTGTAGTGGTTGGCACCTTAAAAACAGATTTTGGATACTTAACTCTTTTTAGTTCCAAAGCAATAAACACTGGTAGCTTGCTATTGTGCATCTTACCAGTTTATTTTATGAACTCTGTAAGTATAAGTCATTAGAATATTTAATTTTTGTTTCTCCAGTTAAGACTTAAAGATCTGTAGCTAAACTCAGGAAGCCAGGTTGGCCTTTTTTTTAAAAAACAGCTTAATTTCTCAACTTGGGGCCCAGAATCATGGCTATTATTTTGCTGGCTTGATTTCCCATTCTTGGTGAAACTGATTTGTGCTTGTCTCCCCCCCCCCCTCTTTCAAGGCCTGTGTTTACTTTAGCAAGATGCAGTTAATTAGTGACCTCAGAAAAACAATTCAGGCTTGGAGGAAACACTTTGGACTCCATATTCTGGGGACTCTAGAATTGAAGCCCAAGATCTGGAGCAAGGCTAGTCTTTAGTAGATGGTAACTGTCCATTTTCATGGCTCAGAAGTAGCAGGAAGGAGGAGTAAGTATTCCTTTGGTACTTTTGCCTGGACTTTGTTCCTCCAAAAACACCATTAGGTTTATTTAACATAACTTTCCAAGTATGATGAAGCTGCTCTTTTAAGATACAACTGGTCTTTCACATTTACCATCTTTTAATATATATATCAGAAATACTTTTATGACTTTTGTTTTGTGTCCTGGAGTGAACATCTGAAGTAACTCATTTATTTCCTTAGGAGTAGAGACTTTATAAGCATTCTTGATGGTGAAGAGTTACCTCTTCATAGAAGGAACAGAAGATAGTCCAAGTTGTCAGTTGGCAGGTTCCACTGTTCAGACCAGTGTATCATGTAGCCCCAATTGGTCTAAACTCACTATGTAGCAAAAGATGACCTTATACTTCTGATCTTCCTGCCTCCACCCCTCCAGTGCTGGGATTTACAGGCATACAGCATCAGTACCACTTTATGGGATGCTGGGGATCAAGCCAAGGACTTTGTACATGCTAGGTAAGCCATTTTACTAAGCTACATCCCCAGTCCAATTGGCAGTGTTTCAAGTATCATTTGAGCCATTGGTCATTTATGACCAAAAATGGATAAGACAATCAAGAAGTAAAATTGTCTGGAAGTATCTATCTTTTGAGCTGTAAACCATTAGCCAGTTTAAAAGAATGAGCAGAGCTTATGATACAGTTTAGTAGTAGAGCATTTACCTGGCACATGCAGTTTCAAAGGCTCAGCCCCTAGTATCATAAAAGATTTTTGGGGGAAGAAAAAAAAAAAAAAAGCCTATTGTTCAATCTGGTACATGGGCCAAGAAGATTTTTCTTTTCTTGCTGAGGTTAGCATTAAACTAGGGTATTCAGTTATGCAGTGGTGGTTATCAGTGTGTAATATGATCAGCCTCAGGTTGGGCTTTTAAAAAACCAGATAATCATTAAAGCTGGGCTGGAGAGATGGATCAGTGGTCAAGAGCACTGGCTGCTCTAACACAGGACCTGGGTTCAGTTCCCAGCACTCCCATGGTGGCTCACAACTGTTGGTAACTCCAGTTCCTGGGGATTTGATGCCCTCTTCTGACCTCCGCAGGCATTGCATGCACAGGTGCACTTATTGTAATGCAGGCACCTCCCCCCCCATTTAGTCTATAGGATATAAAAACTCAAGGCAGGTGAGTGCAGTCTATAATCCCATCTACTTGGGAGGTTGAGGTGGGAGCATCATGTAAGTTAATTGTAAGAAAAAGTGACCTGCTATGGAGTTGTGTTTATATGAACCAGTATTTAAGAAATGGGCCTTTTCTCTGGGCATGGTGGCACACGCCTTTGATCCCGGCATTTGGGAGGCAGAGGCAGGCAGAGCTCTGAGATCCAGGCTAGCTGGGGTGCAGGGAGATGTTTCAAAAAAGACAGAAAAGAAATTGGGCCTTTTCTAACAAAGTGACTAAAATTCAAGGTTAGGAATGGGGAAAAAATTAGGTTGCATTCATCAAACTCAGCTCTCATCAGTGAAGATTCCTCATGCAACAGAGGGTGATGAACACAAAAAGGCCACACGTAGCCTAAAGTATAGAGAAAAAGACTGCAGAGGTGGGTCCTTGGACACAACTCCTATACTGAATTTCATCCACCCAGGGTTCAGGGACCATTGTGGAAGAGAGGGTTGAAAGATTTTAAGAGCCAGATGCATAATCATAAGGGAATAGTTTTACAGGCTCCTGGGACCTTGCTCATATGAACTTAAAGCAACGGTGACAGTATGCATGAGACCCATGCGAACTCAGACAAAAATCAGCATGGAAATGGGAAAATGGGCTGGAGGCTACAACTTTGTGGAGGAACTGCTGGCAGCTGATCACTGCTGAGTGAGGGAGCATTGATCTATAAAGGACTGACTAGACAGGCTCCAGTGGATGAACTATCAAGGGACACCTGGGTACATAAACTTGGTCTTACCTAACACATGACAAAATTTAAGTCCTTCGGGCAGGATATGGGGGGGGGCGGTTCAAATAGGGAAGGGGGGCTAAATATGATTAAGATGTATGAAACCCACAAAAACACATGTATATAATTGCGTAGGAGCCTGGTCTACATAGTTCCAGGCCAGCTGGGGTTGCAGGAAGACCATCTCAAAATACCAAAAAAATTGAGTAGGGTTGGGAATGTGCTGAGTTGGTAAAATGCTTGCCTTGCAAGCCTGGGGACCCAAGTTTGATCCCTACAATGCTACATACAGGATTCTGGTAAGTACACACCTTTATTTAATCCCAGCACTCAGGAGGCAGAGGCAAGTAGATCTCTGCAAATTCGAGGCCAGCCTGGTTTACATGAGACAAAAGCTAGGTATGGAATGTGCTTGTAATTCCAGAGCTGGGGATTAACAGGAGTATCCCAAGGCTTGCCGGCCTGCTAGCCTCACTTACTTGGTAAGTCCCAGGCCAGTGAAAACATTCTCAAAAAAGATAAAAGGGGCTGGAGAGGTGGCTCAGTAGTTAAGAGCCCTGGCTGCTCTTGTAGAGGAACCAGGTTTGATTCCCAGCACCAACATGATGGATAACAACCTTTTGTAATTCCAATTGCAGATTTGACACCCTCTTCTAGCACTGCAGGACAGGTGCATTTACATGCAGGCGAAACACTCATACAATACCCCTTCCTCAAGAAGAAGATGGAAGGGGCCTGAAGAATGATGCCCAAGGTGGTTCTCTGGCCTACACATGCAGGCACACCTGCACACACATGAACACATGTGAAAAACTAGGGCATACTTCATACTCCCAAATTTCTGAGGGTATGGGACTAATTTGCACCTGTCAGTTTAAACCCTCACATTTCAAGACTGAGGTAGTAAATTGTACCAACTATAAAGGAGGAAACAGGCTCCATGAAGAAATTAAGTAGTTTGCCCAGGGTCTGTCAAATGTTGGAGGTGAGATTAAAACGTAAAGCACTTATTTTATCATGTTAGGCTCTTTTGGTAGGTATGCTGGGAATATGACTTTGGAATATTTTTTAGGTAGGAGGATAAAAGGAGAAAGGTGGTGGCTTCAAGTGAAAGAAAAAACCCTAAAAGGTTAAAACATTTCCTCAGGTTTATAACAGGAAGCATTGTGGCTGCTGTTTTAAAAATCGTTCTAAAAGCAGGCATCATCACGGAGGTTAGAAAAAAAAGTTACCATATAGTTCCCATACCTCTCTAAAACAGAACTGAGTGAAAATTACTTCATCAGAATCTGTTGGTAACATGAACTAGTATAGGGTTTACCTCTTCATATAAGAACCACAGGTATTTTTATTAGAACAGTGCCCTAAATAAAGTCAATAGACTAAATGAGAACTTGCAGTCTTGTTTCCACAGTTTGCATGAGTGTAGCCAGAGAGATTCCCTGAAAAAGTTAACAGATCAGATAGTAAGAATGACAGAGATCTTTGTGTCCTACTTAAAAGCAGCTATCAAGTACATTAAATATGGCAATCAGGCAGTAAGTAGACATTTACATTTTAGAATAGGAATTGTTAATTCATGCTGTCGAGTCAAGTGTGGCGGCACATGCCTTTAATCCCAGTACTCTGGAGGCAGAGGCAGGCAGATTTCTGAGATCGAGGCCAGCCTGATCTACTTAGGAACTTCAGGCCAGCTGGGGCTAAATAGAGACCCTATCTCAAAAAAAAAAAAAAAAAAAAAAAAAAAAGAATCCTGTCATTAGTTCTGGACTTTTGATTTAGTAGCAACATATAAAGGGTGTGGACACTTGTAATTTTGCCTTCATGGAGAGGATGTTACAAAAATAACTCATATTCATTATTCAGTTTTTATTTATTGTAACTTTTGTGTCTTCAAGTTAATTTAATCTTTTAAAAAGTTAATACTTAATCCCAAAGAAAAACAAGCCCAGGAAGTAGTTTAGGGGGCAGTTGATATATGTACAAGTTTACAAAGGCTCCAACCATCCTGTATATACGCAAAGTGGCAGCACATAAAAGTTTGCCTGAATGATCTTCGAATTCCAGTACTGAGCCAAAAACTCCTTTTCACTTGGGCAAGTGTGAAGGAAGCAGATGTACAGAGCAGCATCTTACCTGGCCAGGAGTGAAATCAGAAATAGTTTATCTCCACCACAAAAATGAATTTGCTTGCTTCATGTTTTGATTTTTTTGTTTTGTTTTTTTTCCTCAAGCCCCCAGCACCTGAAGTGTGGCAAGTTTCTGTAGTGGGTTTCTAAAAGCATGCAGTTTTTCAACACACTTCTATTTCAAAGATTTTCTCATCCTCATACACAGCACAATCAAGGAAAAAGTACTTGGGGGGGGGCACACAGGAAGAACATGAGTGAGTGAGTTTGTAAGCCGAGGCCTTATGTATGACCAGAACAGTACATTTCATACATGGAAATGGTGTTGTTAAAGTGCTGCTCACAGAGATCGTTCTAACATTAACACACAACTGCACTGCTAAATATGGTTGTCTTTATTCTCTTTTTTCCTTGCCCAGCCCTATCTAAACATAAAATAAAACTACAGGACTGAAATTAACAACCCATTAAAATCAGCAATAAGTTATGAAAATCATAAAGCTTTTTTAAGTAATTAAGGGTAGTTAAATTATTTAAAGAATACAAAGTTCAAACAGCTGGGGGTAGGTCTCCAGGAAGGCTTCCCAGGGTAAAGGAGAGGACCAGAGGGAAACCTTAAGAGTTTGAAAGACAAAGGGAACAAACACATGACATCAAAGTGCAGGCGAGAAATTTCACTTAGAAGAAAAGAACATTTCTGAAAATATTTATCAGAGCAACAATAGCACCTGCACAGTGGCTTGTGGGAGAGGAGAACGCCTGTGGGAAACAGAAGCAAATCTTCACAATGAGACAAGTGCTGAACTTAACTATGTTAACTATGATAGTGTGTCTACCATGGGTATCAGATGGTTAAAAGCTGGTAAAAGTAATGATCCTAAAGGAAAACAAAAACAGCATTGACCTTTTTCTACCCAGCCCAAACCTCATTCATTCTGTGCACTACAAAGAGTGAGGTGTGAGGTGTTTTATCATTATCAAATGCTGCATCAAAATAGATGATTTTTTTCCCATGTGTTTTTTCCACTATAAAAGACATCTATGTTTACTTATGGACAAGCTTTAAAAAGATGTCATTTTGGTTTTCAACACATATAAACAGTTATCAAAATCTCAAAAATGCTGCCATAGCTCAGACCTTGGCCTGCTAAACTGTATACCCAACTCTTCAGATCCTCACAGACATAGAGGCACGTGGAGCTTTTTTCTTCTGGCCCCCAAACCATACTCATAGGCCTTGTGTGATACAGGCTGTCATGCATGGGTCACCCCTACATTGCCTAAGAGTGATGAGCTGGAAGTTGGGTGCCCTAGTGCTAACAAGGCAGGATAAGGTTAGCTTGCTTAGCATGGAATCCAACAGAAAGCTGAGCTGCATGATGATCTCTCAAAAGGCTTCATGGGAGTCTCTCCTTTTGTAGAGCATGAAATGAGCTTTTTTATTTTTTAAAAGAATTGGATCATCCACAGGCTTCATGATAAACTGTCTTTGAGGCTTAGTTTTAATAGCTCTTTAGCTATCCAAGATTAATGCCTGATTATCTTTGTCTCTTCCTTACTGTAAGTTTAATTTTGTTTCTAGAGCCAAAAAGCCCAGGAAGGGGTCATACCCCCACCCTTAAATGTCTACTCAAAGCAGCATGAGCAAACTGGAAAAGGAGCAGAACATCCACTGTCCTCTTTCAGTGAACTCGATAATTTCACACGAGTTTTCTGCTGCCATTAGAAATTGTATTTTTTCCAATATGAATATTTGTTCTGCTGGGGAGGCTCTACCCCACTTTGTTAAGTATTTGCTTAAATACAGGTCTTTTGACCCTTTTGTTCAAGTATAGTTTTATTTAAAGAGGAGACTGCATCATGAACCCAATTTAAAGAGACTGTACTGAATTGGCCCAGTGAATATTCCGCCCTGCACTGTATGCCATGCTGGGGTCTAGGAAGTGAAAGGAAGTTTGACACTGGCACTGGAGTAACCCTCGTCACTCCCAATACTCTGCAGGCTGCTGTGGTCATCAATGTCACTGATGCTGGTGGTACTTATATTGTCCACTTCTCCATGGGAGAACTCTGTGCTTTCAACATCCACTTCAATCTCCTCTGCCAAAAAGAAAAAAAAAAAAGAGCATTCATAATCTGTATGTGCACTTTCAAACAATGTAAAATAAATGTTATACTACAAGCTTATCAGTGATCTCTGGAAATCATGGAATTTAAGTTGAAGAGACTATTTTCTGCAAAAGAGAATTCTGGTATATAGTGGTGGTCTTAATTTAGGCAGCAAGTTTGCTAAAACCCTTTGACGCCAGTCCGTCTGGACCTCCCACTAAAGCACTCCGCCTATTTGGGAATTAGTGCTTAATAATAAAAGATCCCAACCCCAAGTGGTTAAACAACATCTGTTTTCCATTAAACCAAAAACTAATTCTCAGTGCTGTTTATTAATCAGGGTTGCTTTAAGGAGGGGCGAGGGGGGGAAAATAAAAATAAGAAAACTAGAAAACTTATCCATCTCAACCTTTAGTGGTATCATTCTACACACAGATCTATAGACTTCTACAATTTATCAGAATTATGAATGTTTAGTAACTAAGTCAACCATAAAGTAGATTGGAGGGGTTTGCTTTAGATTTTCTAGTATCAAGCCTTTTTTCTCTCTGTTTTTGAATGTGTGTGTGTTGCACATGAGAGAGAGACAGACATGCTTGCAACTGAACCTAGGTCCTTACGATGGGCAAGTGAGCAGCCCCAAATACAGCTTGAAATAAACACTAAATATATAATAATCCTGGCTATCAACAGATACCCTATTAAATACTATACAGTCACCAATAATACGCCACAGTACACATTTTAAAAACAATAGGCTTAGTCAAATACTGTTTTTTTTTTCCCCATAAAAAAAAGAATGAAAATTCAGGATTTTTCAGTCTTCTGTCTCAAAGTTTCACATTTCAATCATAAAACCTGAATGGCAGAATGTTGACAGCTGTTAGAGCTAACTAATGGGCACACACATGGACATTTTGATTATCCTCTTTTCTGTACTTCTGAGTATGTTCTGAAGGTTCCATCAAAAAGAAAAAAAAATCAGACGTCAAAACAAAAGTGTTGCTTTTCTAATATTTTTGAATTGGCAAGATTTCAAGAACTCTGCTTTCCCAAGTGTCAGTTTAAATTTATGAGTGTTCAAGTCTGGGATTTTGTGATGTAAGGGCTGACGTGGTGGGGGCTGCAGATGAAAAGATGAATAAAATTCAGACCTTTTTTGGTTGATTTCTATTCTGTCAAAGACAAAGGTTCTAGAACATGAAAGGAGGAGTGGTGTGGTACTTTAAAATGCAAAGATCAAAATTAGTATCATCAGCAATAAATATCAATGTAACTTCCCCATAATGAACCAAAAGGCAGTGTCAATGTATAATGAACCAAAAGGCAGTGTCAATGTATACCCTCAAACTAATAATTTAAAAATATTAAATTCAAATTGAGAAACACTATATAAACAGATTGGCCAGTATTCAAACTACTTCAGAAGACATTAACCACTAAATTTGAAAAAAAGTTTATTAGTTACTTAAAAATATTATAGTAATGTTAATTTCTTGGCTTCAATAACGTGTCATATAAGGGGACATTGGATGAAGGGTAAATGAAAATTATTTTCTAAACTTCTGTAAGTCTATTTCAAAATGGAATTTACATATGTATACATCAAAAAAATTACAGTTCACAAAGACACTTCTAGACAATGTGACGTATAAAACCTACAGTGGGGCTGGGGTGCAGCTTATGGTAGAGCATCCTTACTGGCCTCCCACATGTTCGACCCTGGTTTTGATCTCCAATACCAAAACAACAAAACCTAGACTGCTACAGCGCTGGCTAAAAAGCAAGCAAATACAGTGTGTGTGCTGATCATCCCTCCCTGAATCCAGATAGAGATGCTCACTGTTTCATTAGAGAAGAGACACTGCCTACCTCGTTCTGAATCAGAACGATCTGAAGAAATAGTTGATCCAATGCTGTCCATTCGTATTCGTTCCATCTCTTGAGGACCCTGCAGCTGTTCCAGTCGCCGCTTTAAAAATCTCTGTTCTCGTTCCAAGTTCTCAAGCTGGTGCTGGCTCTTCCTTTCAGCTTCTTCAAGTTTCTAAAATGATGAAATTTTATTTCTATTTGTGTATAGTCCAGTCCAAAATAATAAAACTGATTTCTACCTAACATCTTAAAACATTTTTTTCTTTAGCAGGGAAAATGTGAATGGATATACATACGTGTGTGTGTGTGTATTATATCCTGTATATATAAAAATATACATGTTCTTTTTTTTTTTACAAAAATAGTCTTTTTTATGTATGAACGCTACACTACTTGAACAAGACAGAACTGTAAGTTTATGACTGAGATATGGTGGCACATGCCTTTAATCCTAGCACTCAGGAGGTAGAGATAGGCAGATCTTGGTGATATCAAGGCCAGCCTGGTCTACATAGAGAGTTCCAGGTAAACTGGAGCTATAGGGAGACCGTGTCTTCAAAACAACAACAACAACAAAAGTCTATGAAAAGTAATCTCCACAAAAGAGAAACCTTCTGCAGTATGGTATTTGATGGAAAAATACCGAGGGATACAGCCAAACAAAGTCATCTCCACAAGAGGGCACAACTGCCTGCCTTCTGGGTATCAATAGTAAGGGTTATTTTTGTAGCATTTTCATCTCCAAATGGCCACGCTGTCAAAACAATTTCATTTAATGGGGTTATGTTGCTCCATCAGATAAGCTGACCTAAGTTTTCAAAAATATTTCTCTAGAGGTCAGTTTTGAAGGAAGGTATAAGTTAGCTGTACAAATACAAACAGAAATCGCTGCTGATAATTAAATCAGGACCTAGAGAATGATGCAAATCTAAAAGTAAAATTCTCACCTTGATGTGTGCTTTGGCTTTGTTGAGCAAACCAAGTGTTGTATGCCTGGTGCAGTCTGGTCCTAGTGGAATCAGAACTTTTAAGCGTTCTAAACACAGGCGCAGATGAGCTCGTCTAAGACAAAAAAATGTCAAATCAGCACAGATTGGATACTTTACTAGAAGCACAAAGTCTGTCTAAAGAGTAATTTTCAATTATTCAGCCCACAATCATGTTTCCTTCCTTGTTCTTCAAAAGGTCCTCAGGTGTAGGGTACCTCTATTTCAGTCTGCACTTCTGTTCTCTGGGGATGCAAGTTACTCCATATTACGGTAATCTGTCAGTAGACTTTTCTAGTCCATCCCACAAACTCCCTACTGTACTGTTAACGTGAAGAAGTATACTACAACAATTCTACTTGGCTTTCTGAATGCCTGAAACCACAGGCTGGGGTAGGGGTTTCAGCTATGGTACCTAAAGGAGATGCAAAATGCTCCCAGTTCCCATTTCCTTCCACCTTTTAATCACAGACAAACCCACCGTGCTTCTCTGTGACTGGAGCCATCCTACAGTGTTGTATTAGGTTGAACCACATGAACACTTCCTTATCCTGAATCATTTCATACATGTAAAAATGACAATTTCATATATGATCCAGCAAACAAAATTTTGTGACTAATCAGCATGGAGTTAGACAAATATGTGGTTCACTCTAGCCACTGAAACAACCCATGAGGTGACCCTGCTTCCTATCTTAAGTGTACTAGTGCTCAGTTTTATTTCTTTTCCTCTCTTCCACTCTCAAGACTTGCCCTAGATTTTCTACATAAGGAAAATAGGTGATGGAATTATTTACTCAAAGTCATTGCATTCTCTGATGCATCATTTCATGGGAGAATCAGAGGAAATTTTTTTTTCCTGGAAATGGCTAACAGAAACCGCTAGGGTTTACCATCCCTAAACTACTACCATGTATATAATATCATTCTAAAATACTAGTCCCCACGTTTGATTCTGTGCTTCATAAAGTATAATTGAACAGTATACAGTATATCTAAAAAGAAAATACAGATATGTGTTCCTTCAAGAGCTATACATGAACTTTTAGCAACAGCTTCAACTGCATCGGGAACAGAACAAATCCTCCATTTTCCTCTCAGATGACGAAAGAAGACTAAAATGGTGTCTTTAGCTCACTCTGTCTTAATACACAAGAAATGATGTCAAGCGAAACTTTCAAATGCTAGCAATTTAAAAGATGGGTAGGAGAAGGTGATAAGTGGCTAATTATGTCACTGACAAGCAAGGATGATTAAGGGTAGTGAGGGCAGAGGTTTAGCTGATGTATTTATTGTTAGAACCGTTTCAGCACCCACAGACCCAGCTGCAATTATAAAGTTCTGCCTGGAATTTCCATGCTAAATCTTTATATTGAGTTCTTCATCAAGTCTAACAATTAATTCTAGGCTCAAACCAGATGAGCTTGACTTAGTTAAAAGAATGTTTTTATTTCTGTTTGAAATGCTAATTATTTCCAAATTAACAATTTCAGTCACTCTACTATGCTTCTACCTAAATCTCTTAGGTGGGGAATCTTGCATGATTAGATTGATCTTGCTAAGCAGACCAAAACAACAAAACACAAGGTGAAAAGTACCTTTAAGGTCTTCATTAGGGTCACTGCGGTATGTGTCTAACTATACTCATATGACATGGCTTGAGGTAGGAGGAGACTGGTGGTTTTCTTCATAATAATTGGAGGCTCTACCCTGAATTCAGCCTTCTACAAAAGTAAACAAAGCAACTAGTAAAATTAAAGAAGCATGTTATAAGAATAGCTCTTGTAATTTTGTTCAAATTACCTAATTCCAGAAATTTAGCATATGCAGGGAATTATGTTTTACATAATTACATAATTTACATTTTATTTTTTAAAACTTTAAACTGGGGCTGGAGAGATGCCTCAGCAGTTAAGAACACTGACTGCTCTTGCAGAAGACCTGGGTTTGAATCATAGCATATCACCTACATGGCAGTTAACAACCATCTGTAACTACAGTTCCAGGGGATTTGACACCCTCTTCTGTCCTCCATGGGCACTGTACATACATGCAGGCACAACACTCATATGCGTAAAATAAATTAATTTGAAAAATCCCTTCAAACTGGTCTTTATTAGTTTGACATTGAGAATGAAAAGGTAAGCTGGGTAGGGTGGATCTCTTTGAGTTCCAAGTCAGTCAGAGCTACATAGTGAGACCCTGTCTTTTAAAAAGTGGGGGTAGGAGTACCTGGCGAGATGGCTCAGCTGTTAATTATAATTATAATTATAAAGGCATAGGTCACACCAAGAAGGCTTCGTGGAGGTACCATGTCCACGAAGGCCAGTGACACCATTCTCCATGCTTTGTAAATAGAGTCCTCCAAAAGAGATACCAGTATGAAGGGTGAGCAGTGGGTGATGCCTGTTCCTGAGGATAGAGGTGTATCTGTGGGAGCTAAATGTCATTTCCTTAGTTTTTGTACTTATAAGTGAAATGGACTCCCTCCCTCTTTGCTGCATCTACTGCAAGAATGAAGACCATCCTCAGTAATCAGATCGCTGACATTCCAGAAAATGTTGACATCACCCTAAAGGGATGCACAATTATTGTGAAGGGTCCTAGAGGAACCCTCTGGAGGAACTTCAATCACATCAATGTAGAATTCAGTCTCCTGGGAAAGAAAGAGGCTGTGGGTAGACAAATAGGGGAACAGAGAGGAACTGGCCACTGTACTATCTGTAGCCACGTCCAGAACATGATCAAGGGAGTTACACTGGGTTTCTGTTACAAGATGAGGTCTATGTATGTTCATATCCCTATCAACGTCCTTATTCAGAATAGATCTCTAGTTGAAATCTGAAATTTCTTGGAAAAAATACATCCACAGGGTTTGGATGAGGACAGATGTTGCTTGTTGTTTCTCAAGCCCAGAAGGATGAATTAATCTTTGAAGGGAATATTAAACTTATTTCAAATTCAGTGGCTTTGATTCACTAAGCCACAACAGTTAAAAGCAAGGATACCCAGGAAATTTTTGGATGGTGTCTATGTTTCTGAAAAAGGAACAGTGCAGCAGGCTGATGAGTAAGAGCTCAGTTATCCAGCTTCAGAAACAAGACCCTGGATTACAGGAACTCTTCTGTCACAATAAAAGACCTCTGCTGATTTGGGGAGGGGCGGGGCGGGAAGGGTGGGGGAAGGGAGGGGAGGGGAGGGGAGTAAAGTGGGCATTTGGGAAATAAATGACAAAGGTTTAGTGGTAGTTGTAGTCCACCAGCTGACCAAGTACAGCTAGCTTTCCAGACTTCTACCTCAAGAATGTAGCTTCCATATGTGTTTACATGCCACTTCCTTCCAAGAGCAATGGACATTCTCTGATTATAAACTTGAGGTAAATCACATTCTCTAATGTGCACATTCTCTTCTCCAGCAAATTCCTAGAACAAGAAATATAGGGCGAATTCTTCTTCCCTTAGCACACTGCTGCTCTGTATCCTTTCCCCATAGTCTCCGTGTGAACCAGATTGCAAGCTCAACCACCGGTGACCTAGAAAGGCCTATCTTTTGATGCCATCTGGACTTTTCTTTTCTTGCCTTCATTCTCATGGGACTGGCAAGGGGTTGCCAAAGCACGGGTTGTAAGACTTTGGGAAAGGAAAGAAGACGAGGCACAGAAGGTTTGGTTTGATTTGAAAATCCATATTCACTGAGGAAAGAAAGCAAATATGCAATGATCTTTTTCAAAGTATCCAAGGAGAGGAGCTGACATAATAAAGATTTATGAAAAGCATGGTCCTGCATCTCATAGTACATAGTTGAAAAATTACACTTGATGGAAAATGATTTTTTTTTAATCTTTTAAACTTGGGGCTGGAGAGATGGCTCAACAGTTAAGAACACTGTCGCTCTTGTAGAGAGCTGGATTTGGTTCCCAGCACCGACATGGTGGCTAACAACCATCCATAACTCCAGTTACAGGGGATCAGGCAAAACACTCACACACATAAATTTTTAAAAATCTTTTAAGCTCCTAGTTAGCATTTACTTAATTTTTATTTAACACACGGATATTCTTTTAACACATGGTTAGCTCAGAACTATAATGATAAAATCTTTAAGTTAGCATGAATGACAGTAAAAGAAAGTTAGGATTAGATACTGTGGCAAGGGGTTGACCTGTGAGAAAAATCCAGTCTTCTTGCTAATACAGAAGGAGATACCAGTGTACTTTTATTTTGAAAGACACTTTGAAGTTTGTTTTAAAATGAGACTTAAAAGTGCCAATTCCTAGCCAACAACCCTATTACAAAGGTCCTATCAAAACTGCTCACATCCTCAAAACCAGCAAGCCCTTTATGGGAAAAAGAACAATTAGCATCTGTTTGGCTATTATTTTGGTAGAGTGGAATCACTGAAGGAACCAACATGCTTTTGATTTCAAGCCCTGTAAACTTTCCTGCTAAACTGGGGTATTACAAAACATGAAAGGAAATGATTTTGCTACAAAATGTGTAAGTCTATTAAAGTACAGGTGGATCAACTATAAGCAGCACACACTGTTGTGGGAGGGGAGGAAGAATTCCCTTTCAGAAAAAAACAAGTACCATTAGATGGTGTTTTTCAGTTCTGCTGTTTTTCAAGTTCTCTTTGGAAACTCTAATCCCCCTGCCCAACAATAAGAAATCTAACCCTGCGTGGCCCCACAGACAGTCCATTGGCTGATGCCCTCGGAGGCATGGTCCTTCATTGGAACTTCCTTGTCTTTCATTCCTCCACTACGGGACACCAAGACTTTGCCAAGTAACTAAATCAAAATGGAAAACAAGTCAAGTGATAGGGACAGTGCTTATATTTTCCTCTCTGCTGCACGTGACACAATGGGCTGGGAGTCCTCCCATGAGCCACATTCTTCAAAGCGGCACTGGCTCCTGGCCAGCTTCTTTTCTCTACACTGCTGCACAGACAGCAGTGAGTGGCTTATCCTCCACCTTCTATACACCAAAGCTGCTCTAAAATCTCATGTATTGAGAATCTCTAAAGATATACAAAAATCTGTCTGCCTTCTTTTAGGAAAATAGTATTTAAAATGGA